CCCCCCCCCGCCACCCAAACAGCCCAACGAAAAACTGATCCATCTCAAAGCCTTTGGAATTCCTGGCGAGCCTCTGCTTTTAACAGGTTTATTTTGGCATGGGGGTCTGTGCCGTGGGTGGGGGGAGCAAGGGGGTCCGCTCTCCCCACTCCTTCGTGTCGCCACCGCCCCTGACAGAGAGGTCTGCACCCCGCTGTTCTCTTCCTGAACAGACTGCGGTCAAACCCGTCCATCCTCTCAAAGCCCTTGCTGCTTCAACCCAGCTGTTTTGGGGGGGGGCGCGCGGAGGAAGAGGAATGACGCAGGCCAGGCTCCCCCCTCCCCGACTTACCGTCACGTCCCAGGGCCGGAAGAGGAACTGCCGATTCAGGTTGGACTTCTCGATGGTGTCCATGTCGGTCACGGTGAGCTCGCCTCCCTCTCCGCAGGCCAGGCCCATCATGGCAAAATTCTTCAGCAGCTCACAGCCAATGGCGCCAGCGCCGACCTGAGCACAGAGACGGGAGTCAGCTGCGGACACCGCGCTGGGCCCCCCGCCCCGCAGCGCAGGGGCGAGGGGTGTAAACGTCCCGACATTCAGGGAGACCATCTCGTCACCGGGTGCGAAACATGGGAGTGTCAGGCCTCGCACCCCTCCCACTAAATTCAGCAGGATCCCAGTTGACTCACTCAGTAGCCCCCCCACCCCAATTCAGCAGGATCCCAGCTGACTCAGCTCCCCCCTCCCCCACTGCCCTACCCTCAGAGACGCTGATGGTTAAGCAGAACCGGGGCCCGCTGGGATTGTCCAGGTCGAACCGAGACATTTGGAACCACGTTAACACACACACACAGAGCACGTGGAGCTGGGGGAAACGCAGCAGGCCGGGCAGCATCAGAGGAGCAGGTGAGTCGACGTTTCGGGTCGGGGACCCTTCTCCAGCATCGGCAGTTCTTGCCGTCTCCGAGGGAGTTCTAACCCCACCGCCAAGCCTGTTCCACGGAAAAGGTTACCCTCCTCCCTCTGGAAAGGCCTCAGTGGATCTCTGTCCCACTGCAACCCTCTGGTGATCTCCTCAGCCCCGAGACATATTTAAACAAACCTGGTGCTACAGCCACATCTCCTTTCTCAGTTCCCTTTTCTGAAGAAGGGTCCCTGACCCGAAACGTCAGCTTTCCTGCTCCTCTGGTGCTGCCTGGCCTGCTGTGTTCATCCAGCTCCACGCTGTGTTATCTCTGACTCTAGCATCGGCAGTTCTTACTATCTCTGTTTGATCGAGTTGGGGTGGGTAGCGGGGGAAAGACGGATCAAAAGGGGCAAAGGGGGAGCGGGTTGAGGGGTTGACTGGGCTGTACTCACCAGGAAGTATTTCAGCTGGGACAGTCTCTCCTGTAGAGCTGTGCCAAACACTGCGATCTGCCCGTCGTAGCGACAGTTCCTCTAGTGAGGGAGGGAGAGGAGAGAAAGCAAAAAGGAGGCATTTCGGTGGCGGGCAAGGAAAACATTTGTCCGAGAATCGAGGGGTGGCAGGGCACCTGTCCAAAGACAACGAGGTTCCCCGAAGACAGTATCTACGGAAAACAGCCTTTGTGTTGCTGAACCTGCAGTATCAGTGACCGGGCAACGGAGGGGGCAGTGCTGAGGTCACTTTCGAGAGCAGCGTGCCCACCCTGTGCCCCCACCCCTCGCAGGCAGAGACAGACACACACACACACACAGGGCCGATGCAGTACGCTGACACTCTGGCCCCAGGTTCCCAGGCCCAGCTACCATGGGTGACCTGGTGACGGCGCTGGCACTTACCAAGCTGCAGGTTTCGGCGTTGAGCGAGCTGTCATCGTCCTCGGGCAGACATTCAACCGCATCGAAGTACATCCATTGCATGATGGGAGTGAACTTGCCGGTACAAGACTGGAAATGGAAGCGAGAGTGCGGCTGTGAGCGCAGGGCCAGGTAGTGGCCAGGCCAGAATGCACCACCAAACCAGCTACCCCCCCACCCACCCCCCACATGCAATCCCCAGCAACAGCACACTCCCACCGCCCCCGCACACGATCCGCAGCTAACCCCCCACCTCCGTACGGAATCTCCCGTACGCAATCCCCAGCTCCCCG